GTGTGAGAGGTGTGCCAAATCGGGGCGGGGCCGCCAAGTGGACCCTGCCGCCGGGGCCCTCGGTGCAGCTCCTTTTGGGGCCACGAAACGTGTGAGGGGTGTGCCAAATCGGGGCGGGGCCGCCATGCAGACCCTGCCGCCGAGGCCCTCGGTGGAGCTCCTAATTTGGGGCCACGAAACGTGTGAGGGGTGTGCCGAATTGGGTGCGGGGCCTCCCTGCGGACGCTGCCGCTGGGGCCTTCGGTGGAGCTCCATATGGAGCCACTGAACGTGTGAGGGGTGTGCCGAAATCGACATGCGGAAAGCAGAGAGGAAGGAAAACGCGAGGCGCTGCCTCTTCAAAACGAGGACCCAACACCACAGGATTGTTGGGAACAAAACACTGCAAAATCACATCGACTCTTGCGCTTGAAATATATTCGGACCTGGGAATCTACAAATACCTACTGTCAACGACCAGCGTATACTCGCAAAGTAGACTTGCAAACGGCCTGGATCCGCGGCGGGGGACTCACGATCCGTTGCATCGAGGCATGCACGTGTTTTTCTGGTATTGGCGAATAGACACTTTGCGAGTAATAGAACGCGCTCGGTGAACCGGTGGGCCCAGAGATCCGACGTACTGACAAAATCAGGACGGGGGCTCCAGGGAAGCAGACAATTGCGCAAACATGAAAACTCGGAGGTCCGTGCGGATGCCTCGGATCGGCGCTCGGGCCCCCTTGCAGCGCCTCCAGCGCCGATCTGAGAAATCTGCGCGGATCTCCGAGCTTGCATGTTCATGCCATTGCGTGCCCCCCCTCGGTGTTTCTCCACCCTCGGCCTGCTATTAGAGGCCCTCGCCGAGCCCTGGGACCGCCAAAGAACGAACTCACGACGCAAACTCGGCGGTGGACGAACCTCCCTTTAGTAAACCTCCCCTTGGTGGTCTATCCACCCCTGACAAACCAGGTCCAGGGGAAGGGGCCGAGAGCCCGGGAGCCCCGCAGCGAAAGAATCAAGACCTCGGACCTCTGGGGACACGCGTCCCCCCTGGCCGAGCCAGGAGGGCCTGTGCGCCGCTCCTGGTCTTAGGTCGGGCCTGTCCCCCTACAAGCTGATACTGGGCAAAAAAAAGAAACAACAAATACTCCAAAAATGGTCAAAACAAAAAATCGTCCACAGACTATCTTTAAACTATTTTTGAACATTCCCCGTATAGAGGGACAGGCCCGACTCAATCCTGGTCCCAGGCTGGGCCTGGCGAGCGGCGGTGGACGTGCGCAGATCTCGTGGCCCTGGGCCTGGGAGCGAGGGGCTGGGAGCGGCCGCCGGCGCCCAGGGCGGCCCGCAGGTACTTCTCCCGCAGCTCCTGCAGCTTGCTCTCCCGCTGCTCCGCCCAGGCCTTGGAGCGCTCGTAGATGCTGCTGCACGAGATCGGGAGCCCCTGGACCCTGGGGAAGCACAGCCCGTCCACCGTCCTGGTGGACGGGCTGATAAACCTGCGGGCGCTGGCGGGGCTGCTCCGGGACGGCGGCTGGCTACCCCTCGGGGTGTGACGCCCGGAGGTGGCCGCGAGCAGCTCTGGGATGGAGACCGACACGCGGGGCACACGGTGCGCACTGGGCGATGCGATGTACCTGGGAGTGCCTGCTGGCCCGTGGGTTGCAGCGCGGGGGGTTGGAGCCGAAGGCTCGGCAATTGTCGGCCATGATAAAGGGGATGGAGCACCAGGGCTGAAGCCGGCAGGGCTGCTGTCCGTCAGTGCGCTCAGCCCCGCCGTGGTCGAGTCACAGGGTGAGCTTGCGGCTGAGGCGGCGATGTGTGAAACTGGGGAGCCCCCGAGCGATTGGGCGGGGTGGCATCGTGCAAGCGCGCTGAAACTGAATTCCTCCTGCAGGCTTGCATCGTGTGGGCTTGCCGCGGATGCCTGCACCCGCGCTTCGGCCGCGTGCTTGGCAGCGCAGCCGCCGGCTCGAGGCTCCTGGCCGGCAGCCGATCGCTTCTGCCTTTGACTGGCGTCGCCTCTGCTGGAACCCGTCGGCGAAGCGGCAGCCAGCACCACTGGTGCCGCGACCGGGGACAAGGCTGCGGCGAGGTCCGCGGGCGCATCCCGCCGAAAAATGCCGGTGTGGAAGTCGATCTCGGCGGCCCAGCGTGGCTGCCGCTCCGGGGAGCCTGGCGCGCCCCCCCTGAGCGCCGCGCGCGGCCTCGGCCGGCCGTCCGTGCGCGAGCGCGACGAATTCTGGTGCATCCCGTGCCTGTCCAGCAGGCTGCCTGGGCGGCAACGGGCGGCGACTTCGGCGCCGGCCGCCTCCTCCTGCCCCGCCCCACCGGCGACCCCTCGAGCGCCTGCGGCCTCTGCGGCCACGCCCGCGGCGCCGATGGGCGCGCCGCCTGGCGCCGCGGCGACCGCCAGAGAGCCCGGGGCCCCCGCGCTCGAGGCCCCAGCGCCCACGACTTCGGTGCCCGCGGCCCCAGCGCCCACGGCTTCAGTGCCCGCGGCCTCGGCGGCCGCGGCCTCCGCGCTGGCGGCCTCGGCGCTGGCGGCCTCGGCGCTGGCGGCGTCGCCAGCGGCCTCGGCGCACGCGGCCTCCGCGCTCGCGGCCTCGGCGCCAGTGGCCGCCGCTCCGCTGCCCACCGCCCGAGCGCCGCCCCCCGCAGGGCCGTCCTCGGCCGCCGCGCCTCCGGGGGCCACGGGCCCGCCGCGCTGCTCGGTGGCGGGCGCCTGCCGCAGGAGCGCGTCCCGCAGGAGCGGCCGCAGCAGCCTGCTGCGCCCCGAGAGCCGCTGGGCCCTGTCCTCGAACGCGAGCACGTCGGTCATCGACTTGCTGCCCCAGGCCGAGCCCTCGGATCCCAGGAAGGCCCTCGCGGCGATCTTCGCCTCGGCCAGGGCGTTCGGGAAGACCGGCCGGAGCGGCTCGCGAGCCTGGCGGCCGCAGCGGTGCTCGGCCGCCACCGACCCCTCTGCGGCGCCGCCTCCTCCCAGCGCGCCGCTTAGGCCAACCTCCCTGCCCTCCCTTTCGGCGCGGGGCTCGCGAGGGGCGGCGTTCTCGTTCTGCTCTGGGGCCGCGTCGCCCGCCGCCGCTGCAGCCAGGCTCTCCTGCAGCCCTTCCTTGGCGGGGGCTCCCACCAGCATGGCGACCCCGCCGGCGGCGGGTGGGGCGGCTGCACGAGGGCCTCGGGCCAACTCCGCGGGCCTCCAGCGCTTCGCAGTGCCCTGCAGAGCCTCCCAGGACCACCCGGTGCCTCGCGGTGCTTCCCAGCGCCTCCCAGGACCTCCGACAGTGCTCCAAGATAACCTCAACATTGCCCCCTGGTGCCCCCCTTGGTGGTTCTATACTGCTACACAGTGCTGGCAGACCGGGGCAACCCAGCAACACATCCACACCATAACAGGGGATATGTCGACCCCCATCCCAGGCTTCCCGCGGTTTTCGAATGAGCCAGACATTCGGGGCCCAACCCTGGGATATGACTGGGGGGTGTCCATCCTCGATGGGGTTGCGCCCGAATAGCCCCCATTGGGGTGTATCCCCAGGTTTCCCTCTTTTCATGAGCGGCCTCGTGTGAACGTTTTCTTATTCGGCGTTTCGACATTGGGCGGAAGGGGGGGTCTGGCTCCGGACCTCTGCTAAATACGACTGTGCTTGCAACAGTGCGTCCTATGGGGGCGACGTCACCTGCTTGAAACAGGCGCCAAAAATAGCCAAGATCTACTCCTCCACTCCAGGGGGAGGGGGGAGGTGGTGCAAGGGCCCGCGCCGAGCGGCAGAACAATGAGTAGGAAGCCTTCACTGAGCGGCGTCATGAAAGTCGGGGGGTTGGGAGGAGAAGAAGCGCATGCGACCCCCAACTGCCGCCAGGCCATGGATCGACACGAGGGAAGGGGGGCAAGCGGCAGAGGGCGAAGCACGCCGAAGACACGTCACTGCCCCGGGCCTCGCGAGCCTCTGGGCAGCTGCGGCAGTCTTCCGGACTGGAGAAGGGAGGACTCGCCATCGCTCGGGCGTCCGTTCGCGGTGCATGCTGCGGCTTCGTGTGCACTCGTTTCGCAAGACGCAAGATGATCATGGATGCTCCCCGATGGTCCCCGCCGAAAAAAAACAAGGGCTCCCAACTTCGCGCTTCGCGCTGCGCGAAGCGCGAAGTGCGAATAACTTCGCGCTCTCGCGCCGCCTCCCAGGGGAGAGGAGGATGAGGAGGAATCGGAGCCGAACCGCGAAGCGCGAAGCGCGAACAACTTCGCGCCCTGGAGAGCGCCCTTGGAAAAATGCACGCCTCCGAGCGATGCCAGGAGAGGGGAGGGGGCAATGGCCGCCACGAGCGAGCGCGCAGAGCGGAGAGAGGGAAGCCCACGGAGGAGCGGCACGGCGAAGAGGGGTGCCGCCGTGATCTGCTAAGAATGAAGGGGCCCCAGGACACACACATGAATACACACAAATAAAAAGAATCCCCATATTTTCCCATATTTTGGGGATTTCTGTCTACCCCCCACTTCCCATAGTTTCCCATATTTTCTGGGGAATCGACGATTACTTGTGTCTGTGTGCTTTTTGTTTCCTCCTGAAAGACAGGCTTGCGTGATGATGGCCAACACTTCACTTGGCAGATGGCCGACACTTTGGGAAAGCCAGTGGCTGCTACAAGCCTGTGCAACACCATAGCTTGCCCGCCGCCCAAAAACATGTGTGCAGGGTTCAGCGGCAAGTGCTTGGCCCCGTGCCCCAAATAAGAACCACAGGGGCGGCCCACTAGACGATGCCCTCCCCGAGCCGCCCCTAAGGAGCGAGCTCTCCTTTCTCGGAAGCTACTGCAAGCATGACACGCGAAAATATGCCTCCTCTCCGTCACGCCCAAGCCGCACAGATCCGAGGAAACAGAACGCCGGGACCAGCCCAGGAGCTGCCAAATCATGTCAACCCCGTGCGTCTCTCTCGAGCGCGAAACGCGACCAAGCCAGCGAGCGGAAGTCGCGTGCGTTTCTCGATTTCCCACGGGCAACATCTATTGCAGGCTCTTCAGTCCAGGTGTAACCGGTTTAAAACCCGTGGCGCTGAATAGAAGAAGAGAGGTGCGCAGAAGACCAGAGGTGAAAAAACGCCAGCAGGTAGTATATCCAACACCGTGCCCCCTGGCACATTGAGGCATGGAAGAATGCGAATGGGTTTGTTGAGGACCCCTCCCCCTCACTACCCTCACTAACAGCAAACTTCTGCGTGAATCGCCACTCCTTTCCGGTGCCACTTCCCTGGTGCCCGCTCAAGGATGGTGCACTTCCAGCATGGCAGTGACACCTGAACCCCCATTGGTTTCACGCGTGCCCTCTCGAGGATGGTGCTTTTCCCGCAGGACAGCTCATGCCTTACCCCCCCCTTCCACGCGTGCCCGCTCGAGGATGGTGCACTTCCCGCACAGCAGCTAACGCCTGAACCCTCATTCCATGCGCGCCCGCTCGAGAATTGTGCACTCACCGCATGGCTGCTAACTCCTCGATCTCTCATCCCAAGCACGCCCGCTCGAGAGTTGTGCCCTTCCCGCATTCCCAGACGCTGCCCCCAAGCGCTCGAAGGCCTCCCAAGCCACGATACCTCATTAAAACCGACGGATATGCTCCCCAAGCTTCAAAGACGGACAGTGCAGGCAACCAAGGACAACACCAAGAAGGCCCAAGACGCCTCGCGGACGGCCCAAGATGGCTCCAGGGCAGCCGAACCTTGATTAAAGACGGCCCAAGATGCCTCCAAGAGGGCCCAAAAGGGCCACAAGAGGACCTCCAACAGGGTCCGAAGAAGCCAAAATCAATGAGTCCCCTTCAATGTTTGAATGACTTTCGCATGCTCGCCTTTCTGGGCTGCCGTCAGCTCAAGACAGCCTAAGGGGACTCCACGATGGCCCAAGAGGCATCCAAGCCGGCCCCAAAAGGGCCCAAAACGGCATCACGTGGGACCAAGAACGGCCGTAGAAAACTCTTCGACGGCCCAAGACGGCGCCAAGACGGCCCCACGACGTCCCCCAGGCACCCACCATACGGCCAAGAGGACCACGAGACGGTCCAAGAGATGCCCAAGCCAGCGTAAGAGGGGCCCGAGACGGCCCAAGAGGGCCCCAATGGACCCCCAAGACTGCCTCACAGGAGGTCAAGACAGTTCCAAGGCGGCTCAAACGAGGCTCATCATCATCATCATCATCATCATCATCATCATCATCATCATCATCATCATCATCATCATCATCATCATCATCATCATCATCATCATCATCATCATCATCATTCTCATCATCATCATCACCACCATCATCATCATCATCATCATCATCATCATCATCATCATCCATCATCATCATCATCGTCATCATCATCATCATCAGCATCATCATCATCATCATCATCATCATCATCAGCATCATCATCAGCATCAGCATCATCATCATCATCAACATCATCATCAACATCAGCATCAGCATCATCATCATCACCACCACCACCATCATCATCAGAATCATCATCATCACCATCATCGCCATCATCATCAGCACCATCATCAGCATAATCACCATCAGCACCATCATTAGCATATTCATTATCACCACCACCGTCATCATCAATCATCTCCATCATCATCATCAGCAGCAACATCATCATCATAATCATCATCAGCAGCAGCATCACCAGCATCACCAGCATCACCAGCATCATCAGCATCATCAACAGCATCACCATCATCATCACCATCAGCATCAGTATCATCATCAGCATAACCAGTATCATCATCATCAGTATCATCATCATCAATATCATCATCAACATCAGCATCAGCATCATCATCACCACCACCACCATCATCATCATTATCATCATCATCATCATAATCAGCATCATCACCATGATCGCCATCATCATCAGCACCATCATCAGCATAATCACCATCAGTATCATCATTAGCATTCTCATTATCACCATCACCGTCATCATCAATCATCTCCATCATCATCATCAGCAGCAACAGCATCATCATCAGCAGCAGCATTATCATCATCATCACCACCATCATCATCACCACCAGCAACAGCAGCAACATCATCGTCATCATCACCATCATCATGAGAAGAATTAACGATATCGTCATCGTCGTCGTCTGTATCCTCCTCCTCATCCTCCCCCTCATCAGCATAATCCGCGGGCCCCTTGTGGGTCTCTTGGCGTGTGAGATCCCTCCCATCATCCCCACCCCAGGGCCTCGAAAGCAGAAATTTGACCCCCCCAGACAGGCCTCCAACGACCCACGGCCGAACTCACCGGGGGGGGGGGCCGGCCCTCCACGAGCGGGTCCAGCTCTCTCTGGGGCCCTCTTGCTGCCCCAAGATGGCTCCCGAAAGCTCCAATACAACTTCAAAAACCTCCTGACACCCAAGGTGGCCCCCAGGCCCCCAGGGTGGCCCAAGAGGCGCCCAGAAAGCCCACAAGAGGCCTCCACGACACTTCATACGAGGGCCCCAAGAGGCCCAATTCGTCAGAGTCTCGTGGGAAAACGTACATGTCTAGCATATATGGCTTTCCCGCCTTCGGATGCTCCAAGACGGCCCAAGAGACCTCCACAACCGCCCCAAGACTGCCCAAGAGCCCCCAAGAGAGCCCCAAGACGTCCCACGAAGGCCCCAAGACGGCCCAAGAGGCGACGGTCCCAAAAGGAGCCCAAGAGAAGGAGACCGAACCGACAATACGAGCCTTCCGCCTCAAGGTGCCCCCAGGATGCCCCAAGAGGCGCCCAAGAGGCTTCAAGAGGCCCCCGAAACGCCCCAGGAGGCCCCAAAACGGCTCCGAAGAGAGCTGAAAACTGCCCCACAGAGGCTCCCCAGAGGCCTCCCGCGACATCCCAACGAACATTCAAGAGGCTTCTGCCCCACAAGCCGGTCACGGAGCGCGCCCCGCTCCCTCTGCCCGCGCCTCCAGCGCTGCTTGACGATCGAAGCCGAAACAGCTGTACAGAAAGTTCCTTCGTCCTTCTCTTCGTCGTCCTCCTCCTCCTCCTCCTCCTCCTCATCCTTCGTTTCCTCCTCCTCCTCCTCCGCCTCCTCATCCTCCCCCGCCTCTGCCATGACGACATGGGCAGCGTGTTCACCCACCGCGCGGACCGTTCAGCCTCGAGCGGTGTCCACTACCGGGAGCCATCAGAAGAAACTCTCGCCCCGATCTTTCGTATGGAGATCGCGCCGTGGTTTGTTTTCCGTCGGTCCTGGAACCCGACACGCGCCCTTCCAGACTACCTCTGAGAGTCCCATTTTGAACTCCCGCGCTGGAAATGGGTATGGCTATGGCATGTTTATGTCGTGACGACCTGGCGTTGGTTTCTGACCTCGCGTGGATCTTTCAACCTTGAGCGATCGGCGGGTTTTCGATTGCCAGGTAATCCCATGAATGCCGACTCTTGGCCACCAGCGGCGCTCAACCTTGAACGCCCGCGCAGGGGTCGCCGCCATGTCGAAACGACACGATCCTGCCGTACGGAACACATAGGCACGACGCCACGAGGAATGCCAGTCCCAGACTCGTTACGTGACTATCGACACCTACCCCAAAAAACATAACCCCAACCCCAAACAACACTCTGCCGCCATCCTATTACATATGAACCACGTCTACATCGCAAAGATAGGGGTTGTGGAGGAACACGCCACTCCTTGACAGCAACTTCCCCCGATGTGTGGCCGCCACGAGCGCCGCGGCGACCTCCAAAACCGACCTGGCGGTTTGATTCGGGACCAGATATCACGCAACGACAGACCTCCAACGTTTTGGCAAAACACAAAGAGGATGCTTTTCTTCAGGGGCCATCGCCGGGCCCCAGCAAACAACGACTCGGGATGAATAGCCGCCGCTGGATCGGCGATGCATCGGGGATGCGCCGGCGACGCGTCGTCCACGTCGGCGATGCATCGGCGACATCGACGTGCAGCAAATCGGACTCCACATCGAGCGGCATCTTCGATGCATCGGCGACGCGGCGCGATCCTCCGACCTTATCTACTACGACCCCATCTGGGAGGCATAGACGATGGGTTTGGGACTTCGGCGGGGCACGCATTGACAATAGCCAGGGCATCGGATGTCCGGGAGGAAAGAACGGCAGAACCTCCAGGGCCACGGCGAAAAGCCAGGACGAGGATGAAATCGGGTGAGGATAAATCCGCCGACCCCCTGTGGGTCTCTAGGCGTGTGAGACTGCTTCCCCCCCATTTTCCCCCCCATTGACCACCCCTCATGGGCGGATAGAGGGCCCCCCGACGAACCAAGAGGGCCCCAAGACGCACCCAAGACGGTCCAAGAAGGCTCCGAAGTCGCCGCAAAATCGTTCCAAGACGCCCAAGACTGCCTCCAGGCGGCACAACGTGCCCCCAAGACACCCCGAAACCCACCCTGTCGCTTTCGTCTACATCACCCTCGACGCCAGCAGATAACATAGGAAACAATCTACACTCATGGGGTCGGCGGGTGTGGCGTAAACATATCGAATCCACGTCCAGAAGTGACGCGATGAACGGCAACGTTTTCTGCGGAGGCGATAATGCAACGTACCCGATGTATCCAATTGTTGCATAATTGCCACATATTGTATTGCGTTACATTATTATGTCTCCTTCCCTAACCCCCCTCAGGGGCTACGCCACATCCGTCGACCCAACATGGAGACCCCCATTTGGGGCTGAAAAACGTACCAACACCAATGTAAAACCGATGATTCGAGACTTTGGGCCCTCTGGGAGGCCCAATAGGGCCTCAAGACGGCTCCATATGGCTTCAAGACGGGCGAAGACGGTTCCAAAATGGTCCATGATGGCCCCAAAAGGGCCCAAGAAATTCCTAAGACGTCCCGAGAGGGCCCCAAGACGACCCCCCAGAGTGCCTCCAGAAGCCAAAATCACAAATTGTCCCATAATTGTTTGATGATGTCAGCGTTCTCGCCTGTCTCGACTCTCAGGAGCCCATGGCCGCCCAGGCAGCCACAACAAAAAAAATAACACAAAAAAAAGGCACCCAAACGGCCCAGGAGGGCCCCAAGACGGCCCAAAGAGGCCCCCAAGGCGGTCCAAAAAAACTGTGAGACGGCCCAAGAGGACCAGGACCCCAAGAGAACCCCAAGGCGGCCGCGAGAGGCCCCCAAGACGGCCTCCAAGGGGGCGGAACGGCGCAAAGGCGCCCCAAGACGGCCCAAGACGCCCCCGAGAGACCACGAGGCCCCAAGAGGCCCCCAAGGGGTTCCAAAAAAACCCAAAGGGCCTCCAAAAAGTCCCCAAGAAGCCTCTAAGAGGCCTCACAGAAACCCCATACAAGGCCACACAACGACTGGAGTGTAATGTTATTTTTCCCCTCTGGGCGAACTGCGGCGCAGCGCCAGCCAGGTGGAAGTTGGTCACGGCGGCGCCCATGATTAGAGCCGGCGCCGGAAAGGATGATGGGGAGAGAGCACGAAAAAAAAAGAGGGGGAGGCCCCAAAGAAACACCCAAAAGGCTCAAAAAAACTCCCAAGAGGCCTCCAGGAGGCCCCCAGGAGGCTCCCAACAGGCCCCGCGACGACGTGACTGTACGCGCCCCGGACGTGCACCCCGCGAAGCGAGAGGATCCACGACCGGAGGTGACGTGTTGCCGGAGGCAGGTCCGCGGAGGCTATAATGCAACGTATCCAATGTATCCAATGATTGCGCAATTGCTACATATTGTTTTGTGTTACATTATTATGTACCCCCCCAAACCCCCCCAGGGGCCACACCACTTCCGCCGACCCGAACTGGCCCCTCCCTCGTGCGCCTCAAAAACTTAGAAAATCCAGCCACAACCTGCGCAAAATCTATGATTTGGGCCCCGTCGCCCTCTTGGGGCCCCACGAGGGCGCCCAGACGGCCCAAAATGGCCTCTAAACGGGCCAAGACGGCCCCAAGACGGCCCGACACTGCCCCAAGAGAGCCCAAGAAACCCCGAGGATGGCCCACGAGGGCCCCGCGAGCGCCCACAACTGCGCCTCCAGAAGCCAAAATCATCAATGATTATATATATATATATATATATATATATATATATAATATATATATATATATATATATATATATATATATATATATATATATATATATATATATATAATATATATATAGATAAGATTTTAACGTTTTCGCCCTTTTTCTGCTCTCAGGGACCCACGGCGGCCAAAGCAGCTTCCAAAATGGCCCCATAAAGGCCCCAGAAGCTCCGAAGAGGGTCTGACGTCTGACGAAAACGGCCCAAGAGGGCTCCAAGACGCCCCAAAGAGGCCCCCAAAACAATCCAAGAGGCCCCCCAAACGGCCCAAGAGGACCCCAAGAGAACCCCAAGGCGGCCGCGAGAGGTCTCCAAAAGGGCCTCCCAAGAGGCGAAACGGCGCAAAAGCGCAGCAAACCAGCCGAACACGCCCCCAAGAGGCCCCCAAGAGGCCCCCAAGAGGCCCCAGGAAACCCCCAAGAGGCCTCTAAAAAACCTACAAGAAGCTTCCGAGAGGCTTCAAAGAAACCTCCAAAAGGCCACACAACGACTGGACGGTAATATCGTTTTTTTCCCTCTGGGCGAACCGCGGCGCAGCGCCAGCCAGGTGGAAATTTGCCACGGCGGCGCCAATGATTAGAGCCGGCGTTTGAAGGGAGGAAATCCACGTCCGGAAGTGACGTGCTCAGCGGCAGCGTTTTCCGCGGATGCTGTAAAGCAACGTATCCATTGCATCACATAATTGCATACTTGCTACACGTTGTCTTGTGTTACATGATTACGTATCCCCCCTGACCCCCCAGGGGCTACGCCACATCCATCGACCCAACCTGGCCACCCATTTCTGGGGCCCCAAGACCTACCAAAACCTATGTACAATCTATGATTTCGGCTGGTTGTGCCTCTTGGGGGGCCACGAGGGCGTCAGGACGGCTCAATATGGCCTTTTGTGCAAGCCAAGACGGCCCAAGATGGCCCCAAGGGGGCCCAACAAGGCCCCAAGAAGGCCCAAGACGGCCCCAAGAGGACCCTCAAGAGCGCCTCCAAAAGTCCAAACCTTTCTGATTTCCCAAAAAGGTTTTTGACAATTGCAGCGTTCCCGCCTATTTCGACTCTTGCAAATCCAAAACGGCCGAAACAGCCTCAGAACGGCCCCCAAACGACCCAAAACGCCCTCAAGAGAGCCGCAAAACGGCCCAGGAGGGCCCCCAGACAGCCCAAAGAGGCCGCCGAGATGCCCCAAGAGGCCCCCAAGACGGCCCAAGAGTACCCCAAGACAGTCTCCAAAGGGACCAGACAGCGCAATAGCGCCCCCAAGACGCCCACACGGGGCTCCGAGAGGTCCCAAGGAGGCCTCCCAGAGGCCCCCAAGAGACCTCCCAGACGCCCCCGCGAGGACCCAAGAGGCCCCAAAGAGGCCTCCACGGGGCCCCCAAGAAGTTCCCAGAGTCCTGACAACGACTGGACTGTACGTGCTCCGGACGCGCACCCCGCGAAACGAGAGGAATCCACGTCCGGAGGGTGACGTGAACGGCAGCGTTTTCCGGCGAACGCCTTCATGCAACGTATCCGATGTATCACAAAATTACACAATTGCAACATATTATATTGTGATACATTATTATGTCTCCCCCCTAACCCCCCTAGGGGCTACGCCACATCCGTCGACCCAAAGTGGCCACCCCCTCCCGGGGCTCAAAAACCTATATAAGATCAATGATTTTGACCTCTTGTGCCTCTTGGGGGGCCACGAGGGCGCCAAGACGGCTCAATATGGGCCCAAGAGGCCCCAAAAAGCCCCAATGACGGCCCAAGAGGGCCCCAAGAGCGCCCACAACTGCGCCTCAAGATGCACAAACCATTGATTGTCCTATGGTTCTGGCGATATGTCAGCGTTCTCGCTTTTGCGGCCCAAGCAGCTTCCAAAATCGCCCCAGAACAAACCAACAAGTCCCCAAGAGGGCCCCGAGACGGCCCAAGACGGCCCAAAGAGGCCCCCAGGACGGTCCAAGGGGCCCCTAAGACTGCCCCAGAGGACCCCAAGAGGGCCCCAAGGCGGCCGCGAGAGGCCCCCAAGACGGCCTCCGAAAGGGCGGAACGGCAGAAAAAAAACACCCCAAGACGGCCCAGGACGCCCCCAAGAGGCCCCAAGAGGCCCCCAAGAGGCTCCCAAGGGGCCCCAAGAAACCCCCAAGAGGCCTCCAATAAGTCTCCAAAAAGCATCCAAAAGGCGCCATAGAAGCCCCCCAAAGCCCACACAGCGATTGGAGTGTACTGTCATTTTCCACCCCTGGGCGAAGTGCGGCGCAGCGCCAACCAGGCGGAAGTTGGTCACGGCGGCGCCCATGATTAGAGCTGGCGCTGGAAGGGGATATGGGGAGGGAGCATGAAAAGGAGGGAGGGGGGAGAAACCCCAAAGACGTCCCCAAGAGGCTCAAATAAGCTCCCAAGAGGCCTCCAGGCCCCCAAGAGGCTCCCAAGAGGCCCCGCGACGACGTGACCAAGACGGTACAGGATGGCCCAAAGAGGGCCCAAGTGCTGAGCGGCAGCTTTTTCTGCGGAGGCGATAATGCAACGTAACCAATGTATCCAATTGTTGCATAATTGCTACACATTGTATTATGTTACCCTATTATGTCTCCCCCCATACCCCCCAGGGGTCACGCCACATCCGTCGACCCAAAAGTGGTGGACCTCTTTCTGGGCCTGAAAACCTAAAAGAACCGATGGAACATCGATTCGGGACTTTTGGCATTTGGGTGCCCACGAGAGCCTCAGGACGGCTCAAGATGGCCTCTGCGCGGGCCAAGACGGCCCCAAGACGCCCCAGATGGCCCCAAGAGAATCCGAAAAGCTCCGAGGACGGAACAGAGGGCCCCAAGAGCGCCCACAACTGCGCCTCCAGAAGCCGAAATCATTGATTTGCCTATGATTTTGGCGATTTTAGCGTTCTCGCATTTCTCGACTCTCAAAGGCCCATGACGGCCCAAGAGGCCTCCAAAATCGCCCCAAGACGGCCCAATAAGCCCCCAAGATGGCCCCAAGACGGCCCAAGAGGGCCCCAAGACGGCCCAAATAGGCCCCCAAGACGATCCAAGAGGCCCCAAAAACGGCCCAAGAGAACCCCAAGAGAGTCCCAGGGCGACCGCGAAAAGCCCCGAAGACAGCCTCCGAAGGGGCGAAAC